ATTTCTGATGTCTCTGAGAAGATCACATCACGATGGCCGTCGAACTAACGATACAACGTATAGAATGCAAATAGTTATAAACCAAACGATATGTATACTTAATCTAGAGCACAAATTATTGTAATGCTGTTTAAAGCATCAAATGAATCTGAAAAATGCTGTGTTTTACTAACTTATGTGAGGAAACTTCAAGACATTACTTAGTTTTGAAATAAATTGGTTAAATATCCATGTAATATTCGATATCGGTTCTCTATGTTCAAAAAGGTTTATTGTTCAAGGAGTCTCACGACATCGTGCATAGACAGCCATCCTAAATTTTTAGACGACAAAATAAAGCCTGAAATTGCTGAGTGCAATACTCTTTTTTTCCAGAAAATAAAAGCACTTCAAACAATTCTTATTATTCAAACAAATCAGAAGATCGATAATCATTGTATTATCGACTTGTGCAACTGAAAGGGTGAAACTTCAGCACAAGGAAAGTTAAGCACGAAATTTTCAGCGCTAAAAAAGCTCAGCACGAGTACTGATTTGTCATAGTTTTGAAGCAAAAGTACGAACTGACAATCAATTTGGGACAAATGGTTGCTTACGAACTATGCATGGAGTTATGTATAGATCATGTTTACAAGTATACAGCTGAATATGAAATTAAGATATACGTAGTGCGTTCAAAAAGATCCCGGACTGGTTTTATTTTACAAAAACGAAAAGTGTTGTAATACGGGGCTTGGTACCACTTTGTAGTTCATACAATCCTTAATTTATATTTATTTATTTTGTTTCTTGGAAACGAAAGAAAAAAAAGTTATGGACAAAATACTCAGTGTCCTGTTTAATCTGAACCACTAGTTACAATGTGATCTAAAAAAAGTTGTTGTTATAACACATAAATGTCTAATCAACTAGAGCTCGTAATGTCTACAGATTAAGGACTGTATGAACTACAAACTGGTAACAAGCCCTGCATTACAACGCTTTTCGTTTTTGTAAAATAAAATTCAGAAACTTTTTGAACGCATTACGTATATTTTGAAACTGAGCTTAACAATGTAATAATGGGATTCCAAAAACTCAACGTAAAAGGTATAAATAGATGACGAGACACTGTTGCCGTTATCATATATCTTTCTCATTACTCGCTACAATTCCAACTAACGTTACTATAAAACATTTGTATTAAATATTCGTTTCAACATTCTCATTCTTGACTAATATTTATGTTAAGTTCAACGATGTGGATTCGATAAAATGTATCAGTGTGATAGTGCAGATGTAATTAAAATGGCTATACGCTGCATATAGCATGATGTGTGATTCACTATACACCAAAGATTAATTCATAACTGAATAAATACCTGAATACCTAACTATCGAAATTTATTCTTTTTCTCGACTTTGAAAACTGTTAATCAGATGTACCATTTAGCTTAACTTACCAAGATGTGTCCAAAGCACGCACTTTCATCCGTACCACATGTCTGACCGAGACTTTTTGTAAATAATTCAAGTTGTTGAAACATGTTCCATATAAAAATAAACACATTTGATTTCCATATTGATTGCTAGTTCGTACTTTTGTTTCAAAACTATGACAAACCAGTACTTACACTGATCTCTCTTGGTATTAGCCTTTCCCAGCGACAAAAATTTCGTTTACTTAACTTTCATCGTGCTGATGTTTCCGCTTCCTGTGCAAGCGCATTGTGGAAAAAATCTGTTCTTCATTAATTTCATGTAAGGAACTGGTTTTGAGATTCTGAAAAGCTCAGAACAAAATCTTGAGCTTTTGGAAAACTCATCTGAGGGTCTTTGATGTTCAGAAGACTGATACAAGTTTTTTGGAAACGGAAAGAGCTCATGAAGAACTGGAAACCAGCAGTTCTCATAAAGAGTTCACGTTCATTTGTTTTTCATACTCTCTAAAAGCTTGAAGAACACGTTTTTTACTGTATATAACACTTGAACGTTTTTTCTGCCGTCTTTTTCACTTTTCTTAAAAAATCAAATAGGTAGATGAAGACTTGATTGTTACATCAATTCAAAGATATTCGTCCATCCAAATCTATGTTGCGATTATCAGCTTAACCCATGCAAGTAAATCAATTAGTCGACTTTAAGTTTTCAACGCCCGTTAGAAGCCAAAATCAATTAATCGGAGTGCCATTTTCCGATGGATAGACTAGTCGATAACCTGTCACAATTGGTCCAACCTGACTAGTTTTCAACTGGTTGACAAAGAATTTCGACTAGTCGAACAGTAGTCGGAAAAAGCTGGACGGTACACCCGCAGACCAAAAGTTTTCATTTGCTTGGGAATACCTTTCAGACCTCGTTTTTTATCAAAGAAATAGAAAACGTAAGTCTATGACGTCTTTTTTTAGTCACACTTATCCATCGACATTGGCTAATTAAAGTAACCGTTAGCAAGCTCGTAGATGATATTTTTTAAGGACTATGTTTTTCTAAAACAAAAAGTATGCTACAATCAGTTTTACTTGGAGCTTCATTTTTTATAACACTTAACTTATTCTTTTTCCAACGGTAAAAGTCTCAGAAATGGTCTAAGTCAAATTGGATAGCTATGGAATCAAATAAAAGTGTTTGAATACTACCAAAATTAGATTTTAAAGTCAACCAGCATTCACTTCGATAGTCGAAATATTTTCTCGCATGAAACACCAACATACTTTTACGTTTATTCAATAAATTCAATTATTCCGAGAATTTTATTCTCAGACGCTTCATTCGTTCAATAGCATTTCGATGTATTTTATTTTCTCTTGTTTTTTTATTTCAATAGATTGTTGTAATCTCATTTTATTCTAAAACAAAAACTGAATAATTAATCAAAAGGCGTCAGTCAATATAGTGGACAAATATTTCGTACAGGATATGCGTTTTGTCGTGTTAAATATCAATATTGTTTAACAATCATTTAATTGGCAAACTAATTACGAAAGTTTAATTGTTTACATTGGTACCGGTCCTTGGCCGCACCCCTATACATGTATTTCATTCTCAAACGCGTGTCATTTATACGCAATACAATGTACGTATATGTTAAATTATGTCAACATATTATGTTTGTTAACCGCGATACAGAGACAAGAAGAAAGAAAGTATATACTGATCGTATCCAATCAAGACAAACGTTAATCTTAGTAAACATTAATTTTTTCTCTTTAACGAATGAACGCGCCCTTTTAATCAAATTGTTTACAGAACGAAAAATGGGTATAAATAGGATCGAAAATTTTTACAATGACAGTTCAATAGATCAAGATGGGATTGATACACTCTCACTCTTCCTGTGATACTTAAACAAGGTAAGTGAATATTATACTGCTCTGCTATTATCTTATAATTATGATTATTCAGAATGAGTTCATAAGAATGCAGATATTCAAACAGATGAAACCTGATAAGTTTATTTCAATTTTTTCAAAAATTGTATATTTTCAATTATTATTAGGAGTACAAGTAAGCAATATACTATCATACAATCAAATTTTAGTGATGGAAGTGAGTTTGCCGTTTGTGTAACGCTACTACATCTAATAAACTCAGAACAACAAAAAGATCTGTAATTGAAATGTAACGTTAAAACATAAGTTCAATGTTTCATCTTACTTCAACAGTATTAGTTCGCATAATTGATTTGCTAATACTGTCAGGTAAAGATGGCCATCTTCGGACGCATATCGACGAATTATATATATACACAATTGATTAATGATATTTTCAAAAGAACGTAAAATGATCTGAAATTATATCTCAGAGTAAATCTCACATCGCCTCTATCTTTTCCATTACAAAAAGAAATATTGGCAGACGATGAGAATATTTGATTTTTTCTTGTTAAAAATGATTATTTTTAGTTCAGTTCGACTCACCATACCGTGAAATGTCTATTTCAACAAAACGATAATGGGTATGAAAAAATTCCGGTCAAAGGTAGCTGAGAGATACTTTCCCCAAATTTTTGGACTCCGGAACTTTTCTTGTTAAAACGGCTATGAAGTCACCATGTTTGATAAAATTCTTGCTAAATTTTTGCAAAAAATGTTTAACATGTGCAAAAGGACCGAATTATATCAACTATGGTGATTTATGGCCAGTTTTATTACTTGAGTTTTTTTAGTACGATATGACTCGAACCCCAAATTTTTTTTTGTCATATCGTCAACTATCTGAAATCAAGAAATGAAAACTTTCATTTTTTGACTAAATGTTCCCGTCGTTATCCATAGTTCGCGTGCACTTCTCTCGATGCTTGTCTGTCTTTAAACAGGCAGGCATACCGAACCTAGGAGTGCATAGTTGCAGGAAGTATGTTTTAAGAATTTCTCGGTACAGCTGAAAAATTTGAACATACCATTTTATTGCTGAATGCATCTTATAATGTCTCACTTTTGTTTGTGAACGATAATAATGAGAGATTACTCCACACAACAACAAATTTTATATTGATTTTACGCGGTTGTCAACTGAAAGTGTATATTTTGTTTTGAGAATGGATGTTCAGTAATATTAATACTATCTGTTGTTAAGGGTCGGTTTGGTGGATGATGAAGTTGACGTAATTAAAGGTAACGTAACTGCCGTATTATTCGTTGAAAAATGACATCTGGCTTTTACCTAGTAGAAAAACGGCAATAGCGCTCATTTTTCTCCTAAATATTATGAGTAAATTAGAAAGGCTATAAACTAATGTCTGGAAAACGTAAGTCTAAGACTAAGACTAAGACTGTTTTATTCATGAAAAGTGGGAGTCATCAAAGGCCCCCGAGCTGTAATATAATGACTCAAGCCAAACAACACACAAAGAGTAATAAAAAATAACAAAATAAAGAAGACAACTAAGGTTAGAACCAGAAGTAGTACAAAAACTTTTTTTAAAAACAAGCAAAAAAGAACAAATATAAATGAGGTAAAAAGCAGAAAGAAAAAAACTAACATAACTTTTTTAACTGACACACGTTTCACTGGCAGAGATGCTGAAGTAAAGCTGTTTTGAAAGCCATTAAAGAAGAAAGACGAATAACTGACTCTAGGAGATTATTCCAATTAGTAATAGTTGAATAAAAAAAATAAGACTGTACCGTTTGCGGAGGAAAACCATCAGCAGAAGATGGAATGCGAATATATTTAGAGTGATGAAGGCGTAAGGATAAGTAGTGAGAACGATGAATAGTACAAAAGAGACAAACAGGACTTAGACGATGATATATTTTGAAAAACTGTAGAAGTATAAAGTATTTACGACGAAGAGAGATTTGGTATAATGGAATCACACAACTAGTTTGTATATCGAATGCCTTTCATAATGATTCAAACAGGACGCTGATCTTCAAACGTTAGGCAGCAAATACTACAAAAAAGACACTGTATAAGACTTTCTTGAAATACATCTGCAATTTAACGATGTTACCATCTATCGCAAATTTTGCTTTATTTTGCTGTTCGATGATTGGATGACAGATAACACTTAGCCAAAACTCTGTCTGTGAAACCTAGCAACGTTAACGAAAAAAAGAAATTTTTAAATTTAAATTTTATTAATTGTTGAAAAATTCCACAACAAACTCTTATTTTAAGATGCTTTCTATTTAATAACTTGCCAACGGCTGGCCTCTACATAAGTCAGATTATAATGACTTCTCTTGCCGACATTTCAACCAATCAATTTTTATTGCGGTTAGGAACAAGCTATATTTTTCCTTTGCTCCTTCTATCTATGGCTCTGGGTGTTCCTGCATCTGCCTATCTTGTATTATCTCATCTCGGCAATTATCAATAACAAGACAGTTTAAGACTTAAAGGCTTACCGTTTAGGAGGTCTTTCTAACAAGCATTTCTCGTTCTCTCTATTTTTTTAAAAACCGAATGTTGCATAGTACAACAAAACGAACAGTCATTCTCTGTGATCTCAACGATGACTTAACCGCACTGATTTTCTCAGATAGTCTTACTCAGACAACTAGAGCGTCCATCAACACTACTCTAAACGGACGAAGCACATACTAAGTATCAGTCATGTTTTTGTAAGAAAGGATAAAAATTTTAAAAAAAATATTGCATCGATTCAGAGAATTTTCAACTATTTAGCAACATCGCTCTACCTTGAGACTTCATCGATCAATGGTTATATAATGTAGAAATAAATATTTATTAATTGTTTGGTTCTGTTACGAAGTTTCAATATTTTTTGAACTGGTTATAGGTTCACAGAATCAGTTGATCTGATTCGTACATATATTTGTGATTATGGCAATTCGTTGTTCCATCGTTCTATCTCCAAAGGTCTGTTTTCAGTCATTTAGAAAAATAGAAAAATATCAATCAATATTGTTGATATTTCGTTTTAGAACCACGCTTGTTTGTTGCTTCGATTTTTTCAACGTAGTTTTGAAACAGCATCCTCTACAAGGCCTCCGATATCTCGTAAGTACTACCTTTTTGCTGTTATGTAGTAAAGGAGTGTGTTATACATATGCCCAGTTTTTCTGTGCTGTATTCAATGCACAGTATTATCATACTCAAAATCGATTCACTCTAGATTCATGCACAGAGAAAACAAGCTCTTGGTTTGCCCAAGAGATATGAGCAATGCGAAAGAGGCAAACACAAGCTTCATATATTGCATAGAATGAGAAATTGGAACTCGTACACATTTACGTTTGCCTCACAAATCTAAATTCGTGGACTCGACTTTAGGTACGTGCGGTTCTCGAGGTAGAACCGGAAAAGAATTTTTCAGGCAGTAGTAATTCAACGAAATAAAATTAATTTTATAATAAACGAAGGATTCTTTAAATGCTGACAGGCAAATATATCTTTTTGTAGCTTTGTCAAGAGTGTGTTCTCATTCTGTTAAAAGAAAGGCAAGACATTCTATCTCACGTAAAAGAAGTTGCCCCCAAGTGTATCTGATGAACGCTAAACATAACTTTCTTTAAATAAAACTGTACTATCTGTGGTTAAAAAGGCCTCAGTTCCGGAAAAAGGAACCATCTAGAGAACTACAGTTCCGGTTCCATTGTCAGAACCAGTAGTGCGGTTCCGATTCCCGATGACGAACTGAAAATAAGAGAACCGCGCTTCCAGTTCTTATTGAGAACCGACCATCTCTCTCGACTTCATTATTTGTGTAAATGTCATTTGTGTTTCGCTTTTGGTCTGTTCTTTCCAGTTCTGTGCGCTACTGACTTGGATTGTCATTTCATTTTAGCGGTCTCTGACTCATCATCAGCTAATACTCCATTTCCACAACTACCCGTGATTGTTAGTAGACAATTAGAATATCCTCATCCAAAATATCCACCATTACAAGCATGGCTTGAAACTCTTGGGCAAAAAAAAGATGAAAAACTGGGCATTCTTGATTTACATCCATCGATTTGGCATGTTCCACCAAGGTAAGGGAGAAATGTATAAGTTTTTTCGATATTTCTATAATGTGTAGTTTCCTCATTTTTCAAAGATTAGATATATTACATGATAACGTTGAATGGCAGAAAACATACAAGAAAATCGTAAGATATTATATTAAAAATGATATTCAAGTGTTGTAAACACATTGTTTAAACATTGTGTTCACTTTTCTATGTTTAGGATTGGACTTATACACCTATGTTACATGAATATCCTTCAATGAGAAAAAAACCATGGCCTCAAAAGGGAACGGGAAAAGCGCGAGCAAAAAATAGATGGTCTCCAACTTGGAAAGGAGGTAAATATATTTGACTCTTTCAAATGTCAACAAAACTATATTGATTCTTTGACTTAGGTTATATTCCGCATGGTCCTAAAGGGCCAACATCATTTTTCTATGTCTTGCCACGGCATCAACGTGTGATGGGACTTTGTACAGCACTCACTGTAAAACTACATCAAGTAAGTGAGTGATAATAGGCCAAACTAGTATATTTAAATTTTTTCTTTTTCAAGAATGATATTCATTTTGTCGACTCACTGGATTTACCCACTCATGAACCTTCGGTATGTATATGTTATAATCGAATATTTTCAATATGAAAAACAGCAGTTTTCTTATTGTTTTCAAGTACCTTCAAGAATTAAGTGAAGACCGTTTTTGGGGACCATCGATTTTGTTTGTTGATGAGTATGTTGTTTAAATAAAGTAGAGACATCGATCTCTGCATTTATTATTATTATTTTAGCACCGATGTAATGCCTCATAATATCATGTTTGCAAGTGCAAAAACTGAAGGTTTTACTCTTATGCCTGTTTATGGTAGGAAGTTTATGCTGTTGTTTTTTCAAACATTCTAGTCTATTTTTTTTTTAGGTCTCAATGTTTACAGTATTCTTAAACACACTACAGTAGTGTTGACACTTCGTGCATTAAATAAAATTGAAAAAAAACTCTTACATAATTTACATTCATACGATACACAGCAAGAACAACCACCACCACCTGAAGATCCATAAAAATCGAACAATCTCTTTTTATATATTTTTTTGTGCAATAAAAATAGTTGTTGTTGAACGTCGACATGTGATGTTGTTGGTTTTTGTTCTGTTACACTTAAGAAAAAGATGATTTATCTAAGCTTTAGGTTTTTTACAATTTCTCCTAGTATTTTAGATAACCGAGCAGTTGACTAAAACATTTTGCAAATATATTTTGATTTGGTCTTTGTCCACAACATGTGCTGTCAGAATGTCGGCGTGTTCAGATACGTTATGTCCACCGCCACATTTACCACCAGATTCACCTGGTTCAGCAGTCTCATCTCGATTACAGGTGCACATTTTAGCTATTTGATCATATGAATATCAGATTTCCGAATCTCTTCTCTTAATAATACTGTAAAACATTTATCGTTACTCAAATATTACTCCATATGATAGTGTAGTTTATTTGTTCAGAACGAATATGATGATATTTTATTGCGTGCCGTATTGATACCAACTTCTTATCCTGATGATTTAACAAATACGAACGAAATACCGTCTGCTGTTAATGGTCGTCGAACACCGACATCGAGAAGTAGATTTTAGGTTTACTTTTATTTCACTAATCATTTTTAAATACATTTTGCGGTTTTTAGTTGAAAAAACTAATATTGATTTGATTGATTTGAATAGTCCGACACAACAACACACATTAGAAAATAGTAGAAGTAAATTTTAGCTAATAGCTAAACTTTTCAATTGTTTTTATTTTCCAATTTTAGTACGTGATGGTCCGTTAAATTCTTTGCTTTCTTCAATGGCAGCCACATCTGCTATTTCCATGACAGACCAACAAAAACGGCAGCAACAGCAGAAGGAAAACGATGAAAAAATTCATATTGGAGGATGTGGTAATAGTATTGATCAACATCTTGCTAGATACTCCGAATTAATTGCAGTGGATATGGAAACAAAACCATTAACAGAAAAAATGGATCATTGGTATCTTGATTTTAAAAAAAGTTTAACGGTAGGAATAAAAACGCTCATCTAAAATGCCCTTAGCTTAAAAAATGTTATAATATAATATTCTTTTAGAACGAAATTGAAAAGTTACGTTTACAATTTTTGGAAGAAGCACAACAGACTACACTTCGTGAAAAACAAAAGTAGATAGTTATAAGACATTGAGGTATTGTTCATTGTACTTGTTTACTTTTGTTCCTATTGTTTAGACAAGCAAAAGAATATATACGTTTAAATCAAGATATTAAATTAATGAAAGATATGTTAACAAAATATGAATTAACCATTGAACAAAAAGATCAAGCTCAAACAAATTTAAATAAAGCTCTCAATTTACTTTATTCAAAAACTGTGGGCTATCGTCGATATTATGAATGGCGTACGACATATGCTGATAAACGTCGTCAAATATTCACTGAACAATTAGCTAAACGTTACTATGAACAAAAATTAAAACGTCAAGCAATGTTAAAATGGAAACAAATGACTGAACGACAATGGAAACAGCGTTTTGAGACAGCATGTGAAAAAAAAGCAAAAGATATTTGTTTGGAAATAGGTAATACTCTAATTGTTGATAATTTCAAAAATTTTTGAGATCTCTTCTGTTTTTTTTATTCAGGTAATGATTATGAATTAAAATGTACACAATTAGAATTACAATTGGTACAAGCAAATGATGAAATTGCTCGTTTAAAACAAGATCGAGATACTCAAGATGAAACAATGAAAAAAGCTTTTATGAGAGGTGTTTGCGCATTAAATTTAGAGGCTATGAGCGTATTTTTGAAAAATACGTGCGATGGTGAACAACAACAACAAAATATCAATAATAATAGTAGTGTGATAGATCAGGTAAAACGAACAACATCCAATGAATTATTAACAGATAATAGTACTGTTAGACAATATTCATCTGATGAACAACCGTGTATCACAACCACAACAGATGAACGAGATACAAGTTTAAATAGTAGTCACCATAGACCATACCATTCATTTCCCACACATGTTTATAAAGAATTTTTACCGAGTACAATTTATAGAACTGGCGAACCACATAGACAACAACATGAACAAAAAGTAGGAAAAAATAAGGTGAAATTGAATTTTGTCTATTGGTTTAAAATCTACCAATGTCTATTTTATTTTTTGTTTTTTGTTTAGCGTACTAGTAGTGCTGGTACTAATGAAAATCGTTATATTGCGTCTCGAAAACGCCAGAATTATTCGTCTCGTCATCCATCAAGTGGTAGTGGTAACAATATTGTTGTTGAACGTCACGCTCCAATTAACAATATTCGATCATGAAATGTTCTTGTCTTTTCCGTTTCTTGTGTTTAATGCAGTGACTTAAAATGTAGATAGTTGTTCAATTTTTCTTTTAATTTTATATCTTTTCTGATTCCTAAAATTAATCTCCGTCCATAAAACAATTCTCTTCTTCTGTATGTGTGTATGTGTTTCGGTTTATTTGCAGCGAATTGGTTATTTTTTTATATACATAAACGCATCCTCGTAGTATGTAGAACATGTATTTATTAAAACTTAATAGTTTGCGCGATTATTAAAAAATTGAATGTTTTCTTTAGTAATTCACAAAAAATATATCTGATTAAATATTTTTGTGAACTTGCTTCAACGTTTGAATATAGAAATTCAAGTTTATTCTCAAAAAAAGTAGAAAGAATTGTAGCATCGAACATTAATAGTAGAGAAAAATGTGAGATTATATTACATTTGAAGGCTAAACATGTTCATTACACACCCGAATACGTTCACAGAAAAGAAGAGAGACTAATGAAATAACTTTTTTTGTTTTCCTGACATTGTAGAAACACTCACTATGGACGATGTGCATGTGGGAAAATATATCGTATTATTTTAAGAAAATAGATACTATGACATTTTATTAGCTATTATAAAATATAATAAAATAACAGCTGTTAATCTTTAATCCAATGTATACTATCATAGACGCATTTAGAATTATAGATATTATAATTTTAAAAAGTGAATCTCACCGTTTATTACTCAATGAGAATGTTCAATTCGACAAAATCTTTTTATGTGACAACGCTATGTCTGTATCATTTTTCTTTCTTAGTTTTGTGCATATTAAACAACAGAGTATTTATTGGAATTGTTTTAAGTTTCTATTTATCATTATAAATACGAAAACAGCCCAATTCATTGATAACAGAGAAGAAAATGATGGAATAGTAAGTTCAAAATTGTCTAGCGGCAACGGCGTGGTATTGAGAATAATGATGGACCATAATTACGACTATGATTAATATTTTTGACATTTGTTGTTGATGGTGTTTTTAACCAGAAATATAATACAATACAAATGAAAATAGTAGCAATGCAATAACATTGTCTATATTCTCGAAGCCCATCCATATCATCTCTATATCTTAAATAAGACAGAAAAAATATCACTTGTACTATATTGGTTCATCAAATGTTAGAAATGCATATTTTTCTATAAAAAGTCGATATTAAACTAAGTGCATAGCCGAATAACTACAGTGCCTACTCTTAGAGTTCATACTGTTTTTATCAATATCAAAGATTTTTGAAAGAAGTTGCCTAAGCAACTGAATTCTTTTTTTTGAAAGATTGTCAGCATCAAAAAGGATTTCGATGATACTAATTTGCAGTGCAAACATTTCTCATTAACATGAGACGTCTTCCTCATGTGCTTTGATCAGACGCCATATTAGTTAACTAAGATCCATGAAGTTTGTTCCGTATACTGAGCTCTACCATATCTCAAAAGAGAGTTGTCTCACGAATATCGTTTAAAAGATTTTTTCGTCAAATTGAGGAATAATTTTCGAGCGCGTCGAGAAAATCGATACAATATTCGAAAAATAAAATGTTTTAGATCGTTTTTTCGTCTATTCCAAAGTTTATACTTAATGTACTATTAGTGCATTTTAGATTTTTTGCCAATGGAATTTGCTGTCAGAATAATTGTTTTACTGGAAAAAATAAGCTTCTTTTCTTTTTCTAATGGTACTTTGTTCAATTTTTTTTCACAACGAAAACTAATGTCGCTACAATTAAAAGAACAAGATATACGGAATTCTTCAAGTTTTGGAGAAAATTCGTTGGTACATTTTCTAAAAAAATTTTTTCCCAATGAAGAAATAGTTTTCAGAGCTAAAAACTTAGATTTAAAGGTAACTTTCTATATAGAATTTGAAAATCGTATTTAAAATTTGTTTTATTTTTCTCGATTTTCTCGACAGCATTCGCGTTCTTCTCATGGAGTCCCTTTTAAGTGCTAAAAAGCTCGAAGGCGTTGCGGAATGAAGCTACAAGTCATAGAAATGATATAACAGAGCCGAATTTTGATTTTAGACTATAGTTTTTGTGAAAAACATTTTGAGTATTTGACTCATAATAATCTTAGAAAAATTTCAATTAGAAATATCGAAAATTCGCTTATGTTACATCGTTCTCAGATCTATTTCCACCATTTTAAGATGAATCGGAGTTCTAAGGAAAAAATGTTTGCAGTATTAAATACGATATGTCGTGAACGAAGTGAAGTAAAGTTATTGAGACAGATTTCTGACGGAAGAAGGCACACTGGGCATTTTTCTAATAGCCGGCGGATATCAGAACTTTATGCTCAAATTATTTTTCATCAATAATTACCATTGCTTCCTCATCTCGGATGCTTTTAAAGAAAAAATAAACGTTTTCAAAATAAAATCGATTTTTTCGAAAAATCGACCTTATTGGTTCATGGGAAAATATTTCTATGGATACTTTTTCGATCCAAAACTTATTGTATTATACATGATTCGATGTAACTTGACGCACTGATTTCGAATATGACCTTACGTTTTCTTAAAAGTGCTCTTAGCCTGAGAAAAATAGATTTAACCTGGAAAAAGCAGGATTTTTTGAAAAGCATACAGCGAAGCCTAGAAACATTTATGCTAATTTATACTAACTGTATGTAAGGATCCTCCACTCGACTCTAGAAGGTAGAGGTCTAGCCATATCTCGTTCTCAGATCCTTTCGAGTCTTCTTTCCTCACGATTTCTTTCTTTATTTTCACTTACAGTTTTCACTTACAGTT